TTTACATGTAAGGTAGCAGATGACAGTATTTTTAAAGAATTTAAAATAATCAGTAAACTCTCAAAACTACTTATTTTACTGATAATATGCTAGTGCATTACACTTTTAGTGTAGTACAGTTTCTTTCTCACATACATTCACTTAAATTGCAGAAAAACCTACCAGTTCCATGGAATGTTGTACCAACAACACGAACACAGCTTGGTACTCGAAGGTCCCAGAATCTGACAGTCTTATCTTGGGACCCCGATGCAATCATCCAGCCACTCCAGGTATAAAGTGCTAAAATATGCCCTGTGAAAGACAAGGCACTCAGCTATAACTGAGATAACACACACGCTTAGAGCAAAGCACTCTTATTGGGCATGGGACCCTGGCTAATCAAATATACTATGTGACAGGGATTTTCCAGTTGTATCCACCAGATTGGCAATTTTCAAATAATTAAAATACAGTAAGATGCATAACAATATGATTGAACAATTGAATTGCATGATTTATGAATTATATGCTGATAAACTGGTTTTTTTAAGATGCGTAACATAAAAATTGGACTGAACAGACTCAATCTCCTTTGGTGATTCCATTAGAACAGTAGGCTCATCAGTATTTCAGGACATCATAGGTAGAACTGAAAAAAAAAATTCATTTGAAATCACTGCAGTTTGTCCACGGAGGAAGCACGGGACTGTGGGGTTGGAGCACCAGTTTTGGAATCTCCGTTTTGCCACGTAGTAAAACTAGGCAAATCGTTTTATTCTTTGAGCCTCGTTTTATTTGTGTACAAAATGGGGCTAACATTGCCTCCCTTATGGACCTTCTAGGGGGTTAATTTATAGAATTACACGCACAAGAACAAGAGTCCACTGGGAAGCAGCAATGTTAACAGTCTGCAAAATTATTCAAAGCTCACCATTTTTTAAATAAAATTTTCCTGTCTTAAAAAAAGTCCTGTCTTGAATCTCTTTGGATGAAACACACTCCATTAATGAAAAAACAGGGGGTGAGCACAAAGAAAACGAGCCTATAAGCCTAACACATACCAGTATGTCCACTCAGAGCATGGAGGCCCTGTCCTCTTTGACAGTCTGTTGTATAAATGTTACAATCCCCTGCTCCAGCGCTTATCAAAATAGCTCCACCGCTTTCTGGGCCTTCCATAAATGCCAAGTCTCTAATTGTCCCATCATGCATACTAAATTCCAGATCCGGTCCTGAAACAGCAATAAGAATTAAAAAAAAAGATGCTGCTCAACTGACTGTGATCATTTGAGACTGCCAAACTGACCAAGAGTAATGGTGAGTGGTGTGGTTTATCTTTTCACTTAAGGATTAATCATTATAGTCCATTTCACTTTACAGAGCAAAGGGTTTCAAAAACTCAAACAGTGACTCGGTTATTATCATTCCTAAAATAGTGAGTTTTCATCCCAAAGGAAAACAGAAGATGGATATATACCAGAAAACAATCGCTAAAGAAATCCTGCTCATTGTTGTAAAGTTATTTTTCTGATAACAATAAATTTCTATGAATTAGACATAACCTTGCCAGCTGTAAAAACTTGACAAGACAGAATGTTTTATGAGTATAACCAAGCAATTGCCGTGTATCTTTAAGAAAGTTTTCTATAAGGTTATATTCTTAGATGTCATTAAAAAGAAAACAGACCAGACCGTGGGGCAGGGAGGGGGGCAAAAAAGAAAAGCAAACAGACCTATGTACCATGGGGCAAGTCTAATATACCGGGAAGCTACTGCTTACATACAGGCCCTACCTGTTGCATTACAAGTCTCTGCGTTAAAGGGCAGAACTTTGACGTATTTGTCATTGGATCCAGTTGCTAATAACTGCCCACAAGGACTCCATGCCACACAGTAAATAGATCCTTTGTGATGTTTATTCCGTTTGAAACGGACCACTGGCTGCTTGGGAGCATCATGAGCACTACAAGAACAAAATTGCAGAGAGATTATTTCAATTTCTTGCTTGCTAAAATTAATTAATAATGAAGTTTTGTTATTAAGGTTGATCCTGAAGGAGCAAAGAACATATCAGGCAATAATAACAGTATTTTTAATCTTAGAAAAAATGTTTAATATATGTTCACAGTAAAATTTTCAAAATTTATTAACCATTATCATACTAAACTCTCACTTTATATTACAAATGAAATATGATCCATAATTGAAAACCAAATATATCTTTTCCACATATTCCTTATGGATTTTAACCCAGAAAAAAACCAAATTAATTTTTTTGAAAAAGCTCATAATGCTTGTACATTCAAAAAGTCTAATAAACATTTATATTAACATTTAGCGTGAACAATATCCATTTAGGTGCAGAGAAGTGGGGGAGAAGAGTAAAATTGCTGTCCAGAATGGGAAATCTGGCAGGGTAGGTGTTATAGTGGCAGATGCTGCCAGTCAGTAGGGCACGGTTAAGTGGTACCACTTGCTAGAGAGCACTGGACGGGGTAACGTGGGGAGGATTCTTACAGAAAGATAAAGCGATAAGCACAATGAAGATATAGTATAGTAGAGGGAAAAACAACAGAGAGGAAGGTATGAGTAAGTAGGAAACTAGGAAAACTGGAAGTCATCCACAATGAAATGGAATGCATAAATACTGGTATGCTAGGCGTCAGTGAGCTGAAGTGGGCCGCCACTAGAAAGTCTGAATCAGAAAACCATAGTGTTTCCCGTGCCAGGAATGACGCAATCAAGAGGAATATTGCATTCCGTCGGAAAGGACATTCCCAGGTCTATCCTGGAGTACAATGCTGTCTGAGATGGGATTATACCTGTCTGCTTTCAGAGAAATCCAATCAATGCAACTAATATTCAAATTTATGCCCCAAACACAAGTTAGTGATGAAGAAACTGAAGAATTCTACCAACATCTTCAGTCAGAAATTGACCAACCATATAATCAAGATGTATTGGTAATTACGGGCGATTGAAATGCAGAAGTTGGAAACAAAGAGGAAGAGTAGTTGGAAACTATGGTCTTGATGACAGAAATGAAGCTGGAGATCACCATAAAACTGAAGTTTGCAAGACCAACAACTTCTTCGTAGCAAATACCTTTTTCAACAACATAAACAGCAACTATACAAACGGACTTCTCCACGTGGAATGTACAGAAATCCAGCGGGCTATCCCTGGGAAGAGATGATGCACAAGCTCAAACAGGCCAGGGGGTGACTGTGGAACAGGCCGTCAAGTGCTCACACGTGAGTTCAGGTGAATGCTGAAGAAAGTTAAAATAAGGCCAGGAGAGACCAAAGAAAACCGTGAGTCTGTCCTACTTGCCTTTCAAGAACAGATCTGAGGCACTTAACACTAATGGGAGAAGAACTGAGGAGCGGTGGGAGGACATCAAGATCGTCATTCATGAAGAAAGCAAAACGCCATTAGAAAGACAGGAAAGAAAGATTAAATCTAAGTAGATGTCAGAAGAGACTCTGAAACTTGCTCTGAATCATAGAGTAGCTTAAGCAAATGGAAGAAATGAAGGAGTCAAAGAGCGGAATAGAAAAATCCAAAGGGCAGATCAAGAGCACAAAAAGTCAAAAAACCAAAAAGACAAAGTCAAATATTATAATGAAAGAGGCAAAAACCTACAGCTAGAAAGCCAAGAAGGAAGAACATGCTCGGCCTATCTTAAAATGAAAGAACTCAAGAAAAAATTCAAACCCCGAGTTGCAATCCTGTAATATTGAAAGATTCTATGGGCAAAATATTGAATGATGCAAGAAGCATCAAAAGAAGAGAGAAGGAAAACACAGTCACTTTACCAAAGAGAAATGAGTTGACATTCCACCATTTCAGGTTCTTG